AACGAGCATTCGACTGCTCGCTAGAATCGAGGCAAAATCGAACGACTTGGCAAAGAAAAAGGAGAGAAATTCGTGGTATTGACCGATGGAATTGAAAGACCTCGGAACGTTTAAACGTCCGTTTTGACACGGTACCGGCAATTAGAGGCGACCGCTGTTGTATATATCGTTGCAGCTTGCGGGAAGTACGCGACGATTCTTCTTCCCTGAATAAGTTCGAAACGGTCCGAGCTGAAGGTTCGCAAAGGCTGCGTAACGAGCTCCCCCGCAAAGCGACGGTTTCCCGGGAAAATTTTTCGAAATGCACGGTCCGCGCACAATAGTACAGCGAAGGGATCGTTCCGTTCTTCAGTCTCGTTGCTGTTATTTCGAAAGGGCCGAGGGACGCGCTGTTTCTCTAAGCGCAAACATCCAAACTCGTCGTTTCATTCGAGCAACGAAAATTAAGATCGTTTAGAATGATACAATAGAAATGGCGACGGAAGCGGTGGTATACAGATATCGTTTAATTCGGTAACGATTACTGAACTTTCCGTTCTACGTAATAGAAAATATCTGTCTAAAGGTGACTAACTCTTACACAAAGAAAGGTAATAAATTATCGATCAGTTGGAAATCGAGATAACGAATCACCGAGGAACCAACGTATATGTTATTCAAGTCGTTAATCTACGCTGATACGTAGGTATTATTACGCATTTTATCAGGTACGTTATTTCTGTATGTGACAAGAGGAAACGAGTGGCAGGTGATTTGTTATTATATTCGGTTGGTATATTTGCTACCGGCATCCGTGAACTTGCGAGCAAATGATCTTCGTCGAAGCCTACGGTTCGTTGGCGAACCGGTAGCCAAGGAAGAAACAGAGGGAGAGAGCGAGAGAGCGTATAAAATCAGGCGAAACCGCGAATTAGGCAGCTGCCAGGAACAATAGCTGGCGAAAGGAGAGCAAAGGGTTGCGTTCGTTTAATACACGGTTAATGTGAATTGTTGTGGGCGCGTGCAACCACATCCTGTGCAATTTTTGTCACGCTCTTTTCTCGATTTCGTTTCGCGTTTTACGCCCAATGTCGAACGTTCCACGGGAAGAAAGAGAGACGGAGAGGAGGGAGTGTTTCGTCGAAATCGCAACCACCCACATTGACCGCAGAAAAGAAAGAAAAGATGAAATCAGAGGGAAGTTTGAAATCGAATACGATAACGTAAATAAGTACCTAACGGAGTTAGGCCCGGTGCACACGAGAGATGAGACGGCGCGATTTCGCAAACGGTGATACTGTCTGATTTCGATGGATTAACGAATGTAATATGCGTACCGCCAGCGAATATTTGAATTCTGCCAATGGAATTCAAACTATTCAAGATTTAAATTTAGCCAATGAAATTTGAGTTGTTCGCATTTGAAATTCAGCCAGTGAAATTCGAAATTAATCGAGTTTGAAAATTAACCAATGAAATTCGAACCATTGAAAATTTGAATTCTGTCAGTGTCGTTAAAGTAAGTAAGCACCATTTCAATTCTGCCAATAGAATTCCAATTATTCGAGTTTGAAAATTAACCAATGAAATTCGAACCATTGACAATTTGAATTCTGTCAGTGTCGTTAAAGTAAGTAAGCACCATTTCAATTCTGCCAATAGAATTCCAATTATTCGAGTTTGAAAATTAACCAATGAAATTCGAACCATTGAAAATTTGAATTCAGCCAATGCCATTAAAGCCAGCACCATTTGAATCCAGTCAAAGAAATTCAAAATATTGAAAATTTGAAATTCAGCCAATGAAATTCAAATTAATCGAATTTGAAATTCAGCCAATGGAATTCAAATTATTCGAATTTGAAGTTAAACCAATGAAATTCAAACTATACAAAATTTGATCTCAGCCAATGGCATTAAAGTAAGCACCATTTCAATTCGATCAACCAAATTCAAATTAATCGAATTTGAAATTCAGCCAATGAAATTCAAATTATTCGAATTTGAAGTTAAACCAATGAAATTCAAACTATATAAAATTTGATCTCAGCCAATGCAATTAAAGTAAGCACCATTTCAATTCGACCAATGAAATTCAAATTATTCGAATTTGAAATTCAGCCAATAGATTTCGAATTATTCGAATTTGAAGTTAAACCAATGAAATTCGAACCATT